CCAATGGCATCGCGCGGTCTGGGATCCAACCGTTGCATAAAAGGACGGTTTTTCTAACCGTAACCATGGACCCTTGCCGTAACCGGGTCACATCTTCAACGCTGCCTTCAACCGAGCACCCTGCGCATGTGCAATATCCTCGTTGAAAGGTTAGCGAGGCTTCGAGACGCTGCGCTGGGCTTCATCTGCATCATGCACACGCCTTGAGCATTGCACATGGGATGCCACGATGTCTGGGGTATCGCCGCAGCGGTCCAACTGTACCAGGTCGTACTTGCAGCCTTACTGTATCGTCGCGCAAGGAGCTCGCTTTTGCGGCGTGTCGGCCAAAGAATCAACAAAGACTCGTGTGTTCATTTATGCTCGTAGAAAGACGCGCTGATTGCCAAGATGCGACAGTTGTCAGCAAAGCGCAGACTCGATAACTCCCAGGCGACAGACAATGATATCTCCATTTTGAAACGTCTTCTTCGTCGACTAGTAGTCGCTCTTGGTGCTCCTCAAATCTTCAACAGCCCGCACAAGGGTGAGTGCGTGCCCGAGACGCTTCATTTTGGTCTTGAGAAGGCGCTGGAGGCGCGTCTTCATCTCGTAGTTGGCGATCTGGTCGGCCCACCGCACGAGCGCCTCGACGTGGTAGACGGGATCAACCGTCCAGAAATGCACAAACAGCGCCGTGAGACCCCAGTCGACGAGCGCCGGCTTGTCGAGCGTTTGCTCGAACGTTTGCCCGCCAGGCGTTGGATAAATGGTCGCCCCGAGCGCAAGCAGCGTCGCTGCCAGCGTCTCGACGTTGACGCCAGCGTCCGTGTTGCTGAGGAGGATGTTGCCGGTCGTCGCTTGGCGCACCATCTCGGCCTTGAACAACAGCAGCGTGGCTCTGTTGGCGTCTTGCGAGCACTCGAGGCACCAGTCGACGAGAAATTTGACGTTGTCAATGGGATTGGCGTCGTCCATGCAATACGGCAGCACGAGCTTGACCACTGGAAAATGCTGCATTTTACACCACGAAGTCAGCATATAGCGCACGTCCGTCACGCTCGCTTCAAGGAGGGCGAGTTGTGGCGCCGTCAGTTCACGCCCTGCGCACGCGGCTCGCTGAAGTGAGTGCCAGTCTGCGACTACGACTTTGGGCCGGCGGCAGACGACCTTGGGAGTTGGAGCATTAGGCGGGTCGACGAGCGCCTCGCGGGTCAGCGCCGACGCTGGGAAATGGGCTTCGACGAGTTGAAGGACGTCGCCGGTGGCGTGGGCACGTACCGTTGTTAGCATCGCGGGCGTGAACGGGATCTTGTGGTCGAGGAGCAGCTGCACGACGGCACGTGCCTCGGGTCTTGTGAGGCAAATTTCCAACGGCAGCTCCGCGGTCGTCGGAAATGGGTACCCCGCCGAGACAAGGTACACGGTCATGTCGTTGCGACCGCGCTCCATTGCAGTAAGGACGACGGTGTCGCGGCTGCCGCCTTCGCTTCGATGCGTCAAGAGATACTCGACGACATGGAGGTGGCCCATGGCAACGGCGCTGTCAACAGCGGCGGTCGTCACGTGACGGCCCCCTAGCCCTTCGAGGTACTTGAACAGCTCGAGGTGACCATAGTAGGCGACCAAGTCGAGACTGAGACGATTCGGGTCGTCGCACTCGTGCTCGATGAGGAAGCGGACGATATCCATGTGACCGTATTCAACGGCCGCATCCATTGCATCCGTCATGTCGTCTTCGGTAACATGCGCGTGAAGAAACTTGACGATGTCCAAATGACCTTCACCTGCTGCGTAGAATATGGCTTCTTCTGGGCACCCTCTACCCTGGTGGTGCAGGTCGATGACGATATCGAGGAGTCCCATGCGTGCAGCGTCGTCCATAAAGTCGTCACCGATTGCGTCCGGCATGCACTGGTAGAGAAAAGCCGTCGTCTCCGCATCCGTATTGGCGATCGCGTAGTCAAGCAACTCGTGCGACCACTCGGCCCGGCGGTGGTCCCGTAGGATGCGCAACATGTCCAAGTTCCCCGTCTCGACGAGGTGCTTTGGAACCCACGTATCGATCCCACACGAGTCGTCGTACGTACGGTCGAGGAGGCTATTGGACTTCCGGAGCTCCGAGAGGTAGGCCGCGATCTCGAGCCGGTCCCACATGGCGGCGGCGGCAATGGCATCCACAAAGACAAGGTCAGCGCGGCAGCGGATGATGCGCTTGGTCGCAGAGAGGTCGCCTTCGGCGATGGCAAAGTGCAGCGGGAAGCGCGCGTCGCGCTCATTGAGCGCATTGAGGCAGAGGTTTTCCACACGAAGCTCTTCATGCAAGTCACCACGCCCTCGCAGCGTCGTGTGGAAGGCCGGGTCGAGCACGCACTCGCCCGTGTGGTGTTCGACCACGAGCTCGCAGTTGACGAAATCGTTGAAGGCGCGGAAGCGGGCAAGCACGTCTTCGTAGACACCAAACTGAAACTCAAACACGATCGCCGCGATCTCGGGCTGATGGAGCACGGCTTCCGTGAAGGACGCCATTTGGATTGTGGCGCCATTCGAGCGCCGTCCGGCAGACACTGAAAGACGTACATTCCCCCGGTCCATCTGGTGAGGAGCAAGTGCAATGTGCCCTTGCCATACCGGTAGTATCCGTACCCAAGGGTCTAGATCCCACCAAGAACTGTGCTAGCCCACAACTAGACGGGCACTGAAAGTGGGCAGGAGGCGCGGTAAGAACGAGAAAGGAAAGGAAGACATTGTCGATGACGTGTGTTGCGACGCCACCGAGGCCGCCTTTCCGATGGGATTTATCCGGATATGTGCGGGGTCGCTGTGCCGGGTCGACAACACAACAAACGAGTCGTTTTGCTCGGGTCGCGTACAGCGTCCGTCAGTGCACCGGTTGTCCTTGACCGCGTTGATGCACTTGAACTTTTGCAAGATTGCGAAGGCGCGGTTGGAACTTGCCATCTTGGGGGTTACCTTCCGGTGGGATCGCTGCCGGTGTTACCTCGACGGCTGCTGCCTTGACTGCGCCGTGAGTCATCTCTAGCTCACAGCCTCCTTGTGTTCGGCCGTTTTTTCGTTGTTCCAAGAAGCCCGATGGCACCGAATAGTTGCGGGTCTTGGGCCCCGCCACTACGTTAAAGAGGTTTTGGAATGGCCGAATGTGTTGGGAAAGTGGTCGAGCAGCAAGTCAAAGGCAGCAAACCACTCGGTGTTGAGCCGCTGCCGAACGGTACGGACGCCTTGTTGGTGGCGACGTCGGCGTCGT